TATTTATTGAATTTATAATGATTTATTTATATGAAAACAAAATAATTGATTAATGTATTAATTTATCTATTGTTCATATTCAGTTAATTATTTTAAAAGAAATAAAGTGATTAAATTATATTAATATTAGTGTTGATCATATTTCTATTGCAAATATTTGATATCATTTAACATTATATCATTCTCTCTTTTTATTTTAAATCAAATGAAATAAATGAAAAATACATTATTTCATTCTTTGATATTTCCATTTTAATTTCATTATACTTTATCATCTTTTTATTTTTATTGTTTATGGTGTGTGTGAATAATTATAAATTATGTAATTATTTATTCTTTAACTAATTATTCATTCTTACTGTTATTCTATGGTATTTCTCTATTATCTCATTCTTATTTCTACTTTCTCTTTTATATTTTATCAAATGATAAATTAGAAATATTTATAAAATAAAATTACATATTTATATTTACCCCCTTTTTATTTGTTTGTTGTTATTGTTAAAATTGTATGAAATGTTTTATAATTAAATATTCATTTTTTAATTTAAATTCAATTTTCTCTATATAATATTTAAGTATATTAATTAATTATTTCTTTATTTGTATTTAATAAATTGAATGATAATAATTTCTTGAAATAATTAATTTCAATATATTGATATGTTGTTTTATCATTGTTATTTATTTATGTTTATTTAATTATTTTTTATTTATGATTATTATGTTATTTATTTGATTATTTATTATTCATTTTATCATTTATTTGTTATTAATGAATGAATAAAACATTATGAATAAATTAATAAAATAAATATTATTAATTCATTATGAAATGATAGTTAAATATTATATTATGAAATTAAATAAATTAAAATAACATAGAATTCAATAATATTATGTTGTATTATATTATATAATTCAATTTTAAATTATAATATCATAATTTAATTAATTAATTTCATTTATTAATAATTATATTATCATTTATTTTATGTTTGAATTTTGATTATCATTTATTTTATTAGTATTTTATTATTAAAATTACATATTAAACATTCTTTATCATTTATATATTTAATTTTATTTATTATTTATTTCATATTTTATCATTTATTTTAATTATATTATAAATATATATAAAATGATTGTTATTTTACTTTTAGAATTAAATAAAATAAATATAAATCAAATCAATTTATGATAATCATATTTTATATAAAATATAGAATATTTAATCATTATATAAAATATAATGAAAATAAAATTAATTTAAAATAAGAAA